CTTGGGGAATGGACAGCATTGGATAAGACTTCATTTAGCTTGGCCTCTCCAGGCACAAAGATCCCCCTAAATCCTTGACCCTGCTTTGGTTCTTGGTGTGTTCCCTCTGCAGCCCCGAGAAGAGCCAGGACAGGCAGCAGCCATGCGCATCCTCTACCTGCTCTTCCCCTTGCTCCTCCTGCTGGTGCACAGTGCTGCAGGTGAGAGGGACAGAGGGGAGATGGCTGAGGTGGGAACCCCCATCAGAGGGGTTTTCCAGGTCCTGGTAAGCGACCACAGTTCTCAGGTATTTATAACATTTGGGAGGGATTTTCTGTGAGGAAGGCCTGGGCAGCTGAGGATCCAGCACAGCAACTCCTCTAGCTCCTGCTGGTCTTTCCCTCTCTCTTTCCCCACATGCACATGTTGCTGTGGAAAAAATGAACTCTGATTGGAGAGTTTAAGATGTTGGTTTTGGTGCTCAGTTCCCATACAAGTTTGGGACTCAGAACCAGCAGCAGCTGCTCTGGAACCAGACACATTTTTGACATTTGTGCCACACTAGCTTTGATCTCTTTTACTGAGCAGGATCCTACTTGGACCCAACAAACAAGGAACAATGTGAGAGAGAAGATGGGTACTGTGGATTTTTGAAGTGCAAGTTCCCCTTTGTCATCAAAGGAAGATGTTCTAAGTACTTCTATTGCTGCAAAAAGTAAGTTTTGGAATTACAAAAGTTGCTGTCATGGCAGATGTTATTTAAGGGCCCCTGAGTAGCTAAAGGCTCAGTGCCCTTGAGGCTTGTAGGCAGAGCTGAGGGGAGGGAAGGGAAGGTGCTTGGAGCTGCCCTGAGTGGGGCTGCAGCAGCCCCAGGTCAGCCAGGGCCTCCCCACTCACCAAAGCAACCAAAGAGGGAAACATCCCCTGTCCTTGGGCAGCACCAAGGACACGATCCCAACATTGCTGCATCTGCACAGAGCTGGAGCCAGGGCTGCCAGCACTGAGATAGCCCAGCTCCAACCTGTCTGCACCAAGGACTGCACCTCAGACCGACCCTGAGCCTGACTCTGCTCCAGCACACCCTGGGCATTGCAGGGCATGGCAGAGAGTGGCAGGGAAAGTTATACCACATGATGTGCTTGTCTGTTTTCTTCTTACAGTCTCTGGGGATGAGACCCTGAAATTCCCAAGCAGGACATGACCCTCGCTTCTGGCTGCTGGACCCATCTCCTGACCTCCCCACGTGCTGATGTCCCCATGTGCTGATGTCTCCTGCCCTCGCTGGCTGTGCCGTGCCCAGCTGGGCTGCCAGCAGCAGTGGCAGCTGCTCCTGCTGGCTGCTGCTGGGCTGGAGCCCTGTGGTGTCAGGCCCGGTGTCTTTGGGGCAGGGGCTGCTTTTCCCGGCTTGAATAAAGAGCAGCACTTTGGCATTGCAGGGCTGGGCCGTGTGTGCGTGTGCTGCTGCTGCTGCAGGGCTGCTGTGCCTGCTGGCCCTGGGGCTGCCACTGCCTTGGTGGCAGCACAAGGCCCTGGCCATGGTGCTGGGGCTGAGCAGCGCCTGTGTCCCTGGGGATGCTCCTGCCTGGCCCTGCTTTGGGGACGCTGAGCCTGACAGTGCCTGCTGGGCCAGGCTGGCTGGGCTGCCTGTGGTGGGGCTGCCCTGCAGATGCTCCCTCTGGGGAAACAGGAACACTGTCCTGGTGTTAATAGGCCCAGATATCATTCGTTTTTCTGGACTCTCCTCCTATGCCAGAAGACATGCGGACATAGTGGCAAAGCCTCATCCCTAAAATATCCACAGCTTTTTGGATTGTTTTTCCAACGTACCAGCTGCAATACCAGCAGCAGGAGTTATTCCTTCATAAGGATGTGGTGTGGGGGATGTCATGGAGGACAACATACACATCAAGATAACTGACACGCAATTCATTAGCTTGATAGGTGTAAAATAATTGCCTAAACCAAAAGGTTTGCTTTGTCTTTTTTTCATCTGCATTATTTCTATATGGAATACTCAGTGTCCACAGCACCATTTCACTACAGCATCACCAAAATGCTCAAGTTTTCCATACTTTCAATTCAATGCATTATTATTTCTCCTGCTGCTCCTTGCAGCATTGGGAGCGGAGGAGCATAGAGGTCAGGGTGGAGTCACCAGTGCCCCAAAAGTTCCTTTTCTTGTTTCTCCCACTACACCAGAAAAAAAGGAGGCTTTGGATTCCTCTTCTGACACCTCTGACAAAGATTCCTAAACTAGGGCTTTGTGTCATCCTGCCTTGTGTAAGGACCCTGCGGTGCTGTGGTTTGCTGGACACATCAGGGGAACAGGGACACAGATACAGTCCCTGCTCATGGGAAACCAGCACCAATCCATTGCTCTGGCACAGAGCAGGACATTTTCTGAGACCCTCCGAGAAACCCTCCCAGTACACTTACCATCAGTAATGTGGTGGTGCCTCTGCTTCTGCTGACCATGCAGAATCCCTCTCCCACATTTTTTATGATTGTCATCTTGTCACCATCCCTACGTATCTCTGAATTTTGAAACAGAAAAGGCCAAGATGTTCCACTTGCAAATCCCCAGCACTCACCCACTGTAGTTTGGGGGGACCAGATTGCTCTGCCAAACACCTGCAAAAGGAGCTGCCAAAGTGGGCACATGGCACAGACCCTCCTGCCTGGCAAGGACTGTCACTTCTCCCAGTGGCATGGCTGGCATCAAACTCCCTGGATTCACAAGTGATGGCTGCATGCAGCTTGTATTTCCTCACCTTGGTTGGCATTAGAAGGAGGAGCAGGTTTGTTGGATCTCCTGGTTTACAGAACTTGTCATCTATCTTGGTGTTGCTCTCATTTTATCTGAAGAGTCACTAGAGAGAGCTCTGCTTATCCCCCTGACATGGCAGGTGCACAGACCTGTTGTCGATTAAGATGTTCTTGCAGGGTCAAAAATTCTTTTCCATATTCTGTGAGTTTTTGCACATTGTACACAGAGGGGTTCTTCAATCACAAGAAAAGAACATAGGAAATGGACAGGAGAAGAGGGAATGGTTTCAAGCAGACAGGGAGCAGGGTTAGATGGGATATTGGAAAGAAATCCTTCCCTGTGAGGGTGGAGAAGCCCAGGCCCACGCTGACTAGAGAAGCTGTGGCTGTAGAATCCATGTAACTGTTCAAGACCAGGTTGGACAGGGCTTGGAGCAACCTGGGACAGTGGAAGGCGTCCCTGTCCATCCATGGCAGGAGGTGGAATGAGATGATCTTTAAGGTCCATTCCCATCAAAAGCATTCCAGAGGTGATTCTGTGAGAGAAGGATTTTGCTCCTGAAGGACTGCACTGGTGCTGGTTTCTTCACCCAGCAGTTCCTGTGCCCATCCCAAGGATTTCCCTGCTGGCCCCACAGCCCGGTGCTGCTGTGCCGCGGGTGTCACAAGAGGTGTTGCGTGGGGACAACGGTGACATTGATTGCAACAGCCCCACCAGGCCCCTCAGCCTCTGCCCCTACAGCAGCAGGGAGGGAGCAGGGCCAGCCCCAGCACCCCCACAGCCATGGGGCACTCCCGGGTTGGCCCAGGCCACTTGTGCCAGCAGCAACTGGGGCCTGTCCCACCCACCTGCACTGCTATAAACCCAGCCTCCTGCTGCCTTTGCTGCTGCCTGAACCCTCAGACCTTTTCCAGATAGGTGAGTGTGGGGTCTCTTTCCAGCAGAGGGGCAGCTCCTAAAGCACAAGCTGCTGGAAGCACCTAGGGGCAAAATTTATTCATGGGAGATTTTTTTTGAAAGACTAAAAAAGTGCCTTCCTGTGAGTCTAAAAGGTCATAACATGTGGAAGGTGAAAGTGAGGTTTCTTAAATAGAAGACAGTCTGGAAATGTGCCTTGATGCTGCAGGAGGGACCCAGGAACTTCTTTGCTGGGGGTACGAGGGGAATGTAGGAAGAGTCCTGTCTCTGAGCAGTACAGAGATTTCCCATCATTTCAGGCTTTCAGTATTGGCAAAGATTGATTTCTGTTCCCATTTCTGGGCACCATTCCCTGCCCTCTGGCTGCTCCCTGGATCAGTGATGCCCAGGACAGGGGCAGCAAGTGTGGGGCTGGGGAATGTCCTTGCCAGAAATCCTGAAAATGCTCTGGAGTTGGGGATGGGCACTGCCAAGATGAGCTGGCATGATTTTCTTGAGCTCAGGGAAGCAGAGGTGGTTGGGCAGGGTGTTTGGGGCATGTGTTTGATACATGAAACCTGAAGGACAGAAATATGGACTGTTCCATAACTTCCAGTAGCAATTTTTCCTTTGTTATCCCCCACATTTCATTGGCCATGTATTTTCAACAGATGGGAAATATTTGGCCCCGGGTCTGGTGCCCCTTCTCTGGGGAAAGTACTTAGGAAAACCTTCAAGGAAATTAATTGAAAAACCCAATTGAGGTAATCAATTTCCAAAAGACAGACATGAAGCACTCCCAAGAATTGGACAGTGGTGCAAAACTAAGAATTGTTTTTAAAGAACAAAGGGAGAAGAAATATCATTTCCTGTGTTTGGGGGGCAGCCCCACTTCAGTTTGGTGAACCACAGAACCCAGGTTTGTGCCCCACCTGGAGTCCTGAGTGTCCCCATTGCCTTGGTGTTCCTATTGCAGCTCTGTGGAGACCCAGGAGAGGCAGCAGCCATGAAGATCCTGTTCCTGCTCTTCCCCCTGATCCTCCTGCTGGTCCAGGGTGCTGCAGGTGAGAAGGGAAAAGGGGAGATGGGGGAAGGTGTGAGCCTGCACCAATGGGAATTCTATGTCCCTGGAAGTGACTGTGGTTGTGGAAATGATGAGAATGTAACAGAGGACTGAGGTCAAAGGGGTTTCTCCAATGCATTTCCAACTCAACAGAAATTTAGGGGGCAGTAATGCAATGGAGACTGAATCCTGCCTTGTTCTGTAAGTCAGGAAGGTTACAGGCTCTAAGCCTGCACCCAGATATTCCTGCTTGGGAAGGTCTTGCCCTGCACCGGGTTGGCAGAGAGTCCCAAGGGGATGGAGGAAGGTTTGGATGGAGGCATTTCCTGGGGCACAAAGGTGTCTCTTCCTTATCCATCAGCTGAGTGTATTGATATTGCTGTTGTTGTTGTTGTTGTTGTTATTATTATTATTATTACTATTAGTATTAGTATTCCTATTACTATTACTATTACTATTACTATTACTATTACTATTACTATTACTATTACTATTACTATTACTATTACTATTACTATTACTATTACTATTACTATTACTATTACTATTA